AGATTTGCTTTTGTGACCACCAGGGAGGATGACAAGGACCAGACCGAGTGCTTTCACTCTCCGCCATTGGAGAGTGTGCTGTCCTTGTCCCTGAGGTGTATAAAATGTGACCATATCATAGAAGAAGTTGTTTTTAGGGTAGTAAAAATTCAATTTTAAAAAAAATAAGGAGCTAAGTTTCAAAATGAAAATATTTTATGCATTGTTTTACATAGAATAAGGCACTGTGCTATGGTGACTGTTTTTAGTACCAAGTTCACTTTGCTTTGATATGCATCCCTCTCTAGTCTTTCTCTAGAAAGGAGCTTTGGTACCTTCCACAGTGCTTGCCTGGAGATCTTTTTTTTTTTTCATATTAAAGTTTTAGGAAGGGATTAGATCTTGGATTTCAAATCTGAGGCAAATCGAATGATTTCTTTCATAAGTCCTGAGAAATACTGTGCTGGATTTTATGATAGTGAGACCTTTGGCTGTATAATTCCAGTCTGACAAGAATGTTAAATAGTTGCCCTTCCTGTGATTCTGGAGGTCCTCACTACTGCTCCCTTAATTTGCACCAGATTGTACCTTTAATTTGAGCTTATTTTTAATTTGAGATGGCACAGGGCATGCTTAAGTCGCTTAAGAGTCTCCTCGTGTTCTTGAACTGCAGACCATCCTCATATTCCAGAGATAGGGAAAGCAGGGGGAGAGAATTCCTGGGTCCTGGGCAACCTGCTGGCATCTTACTCAGACCCGTATCAAGGGTCTCCAGACGCATCTCATACTCTGCAGAAACCAAGTTTGGCTGTGTGCTCCATGAGCTCGAGAGCTTTGTTTGCTGCTGTGAACCTTCATAGCATGCGGAACACACTGAATATGTATTGGTCCAGTGAGTGAATAAATGAATTTGGCGGGAGTTTTCAGTATCAACTGTGTTTCCCTTTGCGGTATCTTTGACCTAATGCTTTCTTTTTGAGGGCTTTGCTCTCCAAGAAGCCAGCATCATTCAGTTTTTTTCTTTTTCCTCCTGACTTATTTTTTCTTTTCTACCCCTACTTCTAGGCCATTTTTTTTGGGAAAAGGGAGAGTGACTTCCTGGAGATATAAGGTATATACCATAAAGCTCCCCATTCAGCGAATAAGCTTCAGTGAGTTGAAGAGTTGCACAACATTCACCCCCACGTCATTGGCGTAGAAAACAGAACAGCGAAAGGAACTGGGTGTCAGGAATACCCAGGTTCCAATCATTGTGTCCTCTCTATGTGAACTAGATATCCGATTGTGGGCAAAGTTCTTAAATTCCCAAGGCCTTGGTTCTCCCCAGCTGTGGGGTGACTGCCGTAAGAATAAGGGAGGCCTTGCCTACCAGACACTTTATTTTCTGAGGACTCAATTACCCATAGTCAGCTGCGGTTTGAAAAGAGTAGAAGGACAATTCCGGAAAACAATTCATGTTCTGAACAACTGTTTTACAGCGTGTAGTTATAATTTTTCAATGTTATAAATGATTATTGTTGCTAATCCCTTCATATGCCTAATTTATGCCTTGAACTTTGTCACCAGTGTGTATATAGGAGAAAACAGTCTATCTAGGCTGGGTACCATCTGTGGCTTCAGGCATTCACCAGGAGGACTTGGAACATACACCCTCCGCACAAGGGGGATCATGAGATATTCAGTGAGTCATCTTTCCTGCCCCTTTGTGACAACCACGTGGGGATGGTGAGCAGGGGCAGAGCTGGCTGTGACTCCAGTCTTCCACAGGTACCTTCCACTGCCTCAGAACCATAGAAAAGAGTCCTAGTGTGGTGATGCAGCTCACCCAGTCACCCGCCTACCCAACCCAGACGTTACCAAGATACCCTATATTTCATTGGTCAGCCTCTCCCCCGTAGCTTTCTCTCGTCTCAGGAGGTTGGATCTGTGCTTCAGAAATTTTCTCTGCCACCCATAGACCCACCCAGTGTTCCATGAGTGCTGATCTTTCTTTTTTTTTCCAATGGTTTCTTTCCCCAATGTACCTTCACTGCCTATTTTTGTTTACAGTCATGGAATATTGATGTTGGAAGGAAGCCTAGAGATAATCCGGTTAAACTGTTCTTTTCACAGTCAAAGAAACTGAGGCGTAGAGGAGTGGTCACATTGTCAGTCGGTAACAAGGCCAGCCCAGCACACTTGCATACATATCTGTGCCACGGAGGAATGCCTTGTGGAATATGATACTGCCCTGGTGACCTAGGGGCCCCACTGGAATCTGACCCCAACTCTCCATTCCTATTATGTGTAAAAGGACAAACCCATCACTGTGAGGGTTCATGCTTCAGGACTGCAATCAGAAAAGCTTTGCAAACTGTAGCGTGCTAAGTGGTTGTAATATTTATGTTGTCAGTGTTGTTTGGAGAAAGTTGAAAGAACTCCCATCCTGGTGAGAATCCACACATTTGGTCTGAATCCTGTAATTCTTTTGGTTTCCATTTCTGAGTGGAGGCGGCTCTGGCTTTGAGCAATCCAGACCCAAGGGAGAAGAAGAGAATTGTTTCTTGCTGGTTACCCTGTGTCTGATACATAGTGGGCATAGGGAAGACTTTTGTGCCCGAAACCCTGAGCACCGTGCTTGGCGAGGTTGGTGGAGAGCACCGGAGGCATTCGAGAAAGGCAGAGGGAAAATCAAAGGTACCACTAAGCAAAGCGTCCAAATTTCTATTAATTTTTAGGTTCACATACTAAAAAAAGCAGTGCCTAATTTTTGGTGCTGACCCTGTCAAAGTAGCCGTTCCATGTTATTATGTCACTGAAATCTCCATCCCCCATGCATCCCCTTTGTGAACCAAATGCTAAATCTTTAGGGGCCAGGAGCTTGCGTAGGCTGCAAATTCAGCCTGCAGACAAGTGAAGGAGCCAGAAGTGGGGGTTTTCCATCCAAATAACTGTTAAGGGTCCCAATTTAAAATGAATCAAGCCTTTCACCAGGCTCTGCATTCCCCTAAATCAATTTGATTTTATGTAAACATTTATCTCTTTTGCACTTTTCCACCTACAACACCATTCACACAATAATGCCATCATGAACACTAATGTTTTCAGCAGATACTTTTGGGAGAAGGAGGTGGGGGAGGTAAGGGGAAGTCTGCACACAGGGCATGCATTATAAGGAATCCGGTTGTCGCAGAAACTTCCCAAAAATCAAGGTGTAAATGGGAGCAAGCACTCCATTTGGTTTTGGTAGGGAAAAAATGTCAGTGCTCCTGGGTATGTCGGAGGGCAAATGTGCTGTGGGGTGCAGGCTATTGTTTGAAAGAGACTCTTGACAGAAGAGCAAGAGTTGTCCTCCTCAGAGCATCTCAGAGCCTTGTAAGTGGCTGGAGCTGACTCATAGGAGTGTACAGCTATAGGGATGTTTCCCTCCCAGAAAAAACGTGTTGAAATCAGCTCGATCTGCAGACAGACATTTCCCTGTGCTTTCACAGGCTGCGGCCGCTTGCAGGGTTGCGAGTTTACACCGCAAAAAACAACCCTAAGCTAGCCGTTTCCTCCGCCTTGTCCTTCTGGGGGTATCTCCAGTGGAGACCCCAACACCTTATGGCTCAGGAAGCCACACTTGACCTCCCACCCACCTCATAACAGATCGCAAGAGAGAAGTGAAAAGCAGATGTTAGAATATAATGGGGAAATATTTAGCTCTGATTTCCACATTCACACCCAGCCGCATCTGTAAGTAGCCATCGGGTCAGGAACACATCGCCAAACATTTTTTTTTTTTTTTTGTTAGCAAGTAGGGAGTAAAGCGTCTCAGGTACAGAACAGAATCTGAAGAACCAATTCCTCATCTTTGTCCTCTATCATATACTGTTTATCTTCTCATCTGTTTTTTTTTTTCCCTTCCCGTGGCACATGCAGTTAATTGGAGCTCTCTTTAATTCTTTTGTGTGGTTGTTAGCAAATAAAAATAAACAGGAGCTCATGATGAGAGCGTTTTACCCACTGATGCTTTAAAATAGAATTTTCAGAAGCATTGTTGATTCTTACTTATTTTTGTTGGTAAATCCCGGCGAAAATGTATATCTTTGCCTTTAAAGTTCTAATTCAAGGCATGGATGTGAGAGTTGTGAAGGGACTTAGGGACTGCGGTAAAATTTCGTTGTCATAGTAACAGAAAGGGAAATAGGCCTAGCTCACCTGGGACTTTAACACTGCAAAAGCTGAATTTTTTTTTTTCTTTTTAAGGGAAAGGACTGTGCAAGCGAAATAAATGAAAAACTTACTGTATTTTGAAACAAAATTTCAAACTGGAGCTAGGTGAATTGCTGCAAAGGCCACTCTGGCCATTTTTTTCAAATTTGATGTCCTGTGATTCAAGATATCCAGTTTTAAAATTAAACAGACACTTAGGAGACTGTGTACTTCAAAATATATGCCTTGTAATTGATAAGCTCCGACTATGGTTGGGGGCCTTTGAATTTTGCTGGATAACCTATAGATGGTCTGAGAAGAGACTCACACTTGCTGTTTATCATAAATACCTGGTGGGTACCTGCCTGGCTAGTTTGGGCTTTGGATAGTAATGCACTGTTTTTGATTTTGTAGAGCTCGCTGAAACTCTCAGGCCACCTTCAGGTGAGCCTCGCACCAGGGCGGCCTGGGAGTCTGGACCATGTCCTGCCACTTTTCACCCCAGAGCAAGACTTTCTGTACAGCAGGGGTCACTGCTGTGTTTCAAGCCTGTGTTTGCAGAGTGAGTGCTGTACAAAGTCCAGGCCGGTGTGCAAACCAGAGCCTGGCTTGTGAACTGCTTAACAATCCCCCACAGTGCCGGAGAAGGGGGCACTGGGCTTGCGATGGAAAACACTCAAATTTGCAAATTGCAGAGGGTCAGCTACGTTCCTTCCCAGGCAGGGCTGGTTGAAATTCCCCAGACCTGAAATACAATCGCTTTTCAAATCAAATCTAATCGAATGCAGATACAGTCTCCCTTAAAAAATGTTTACTGAAAAATGTAACACATTGCTTTCTCTTTACAGATTCTTTTTAAAATTTTTCCTCAAGTGCAATCAGAATTGTTTGAAAACAGCAGGAAACCCAAGAGACATGAGACGGTTTCAGGTAAGGGACCCTGCAGATCTTGCCTGTTAAATAAGTCATCTCTCTTTCTCCTCTGCTCTCTGTTCCCTTCTACCCCTTAAAACCACTGCTCACGGATGCTGCCAGCAATACAAAAGATGACTGCACACAGCAGCCCTCCTCTGCCAGGATCGAGGGGTTCTTCATTTTGTAGTGTTTAGGTTTTCTGTCTCTGTTGCCAAGCCCCACGGGGCAAGGCACCAGCCCATGCTGGAGATTTGATTTTAAACCCTCAGGCTGCCCCTTGCACACACAGCTGCCCACAGCAGGAACCGTGTTCTTGATATTCAGCCACCTTGGGAGTTTTCAAAGCCGCTTCTCTGTGTTTTCTGCAAGCAACAGCCTCTGTCTTCCTTTTGCACTGATTAACTATTCAGTGGTCTCTCCCCGAGCCTGCTGGAAAGCTGCAGCCCAGGCAGCCGTGGTCACTTTAAGACAGCAGCATGACAACAAGGCCCACGGGACAGTGACCCAGCTGCCTGGCAGTTAAATCTGCCACCGATTTCATCACCCTTGCCACTGATGTACTGAGGAGATGAGCTAATAAAAACACAGAGGGTGTCAGGTGGGGCAGGAGCAAGGGTGTCTCCACGCAGGACCCTTCCGGAAGCTCCGAAGGACCCACGTAATTCACCAAATGCCTTTCCTGCCACTCATCCCGCCCCAGGATACCACACCTCCTTCTCCACAGGAAAATGGAAAGCATGCTAAACAATGGCCTAGAGCTTGAGACTTAGAAAAAATCTAGCAGCAAGGCAAGAGAATGGGGATGATCAGCCTGTGCTTGAGGGAGAGGAGGGAGGTTCTGGAGGGGTAGCTATCTTGTCCTCCATCCTGGAATGAAGGTGATGTCGTGTCACTGGGAGACTGGTCATCATACTCTATCCCCTAGAACATGTGTTTGCGACGCCTGTCGCTGCTGATTTTATGCTTTGCTGTTGCCTTCTTGAAATTCTAAATTTTTGAACGAAGTCATGTTCTCGTTTTGCACGAAATTCTGTAAATATGGTCCTGCCCCTCCCTTATCAAACTTCTGTGGGGCGGCCACAGGCAGGGAGGCGTTAAAATCCAAAACCACTCAAGAGTTAACACGCTTTGGGGTGCAGCGGTTACCTAGCAGGCAAAGCTCTGGGTTCTGTCCCCAGCATCTCAAAAAGAGACAGAGTTAACAGGGGAGATGGGCATCCATGAAGCCAGTGAGAATTATTTTGAAAAAAAAGACCCTTTTATTTATTTACTTTTTACCATGTTGTGGCTATCCAACAGTCTTGCTGTGTCCAGGATATTCTTTGTTAGTTATATTATACTTAACTCTATCACCAGGATACCTTTAAAATCGAGTCCCTCCTCTTTACCAAGCAGATTCTTTTTATCACCCTGATGTGTGACAGACAAATAAAGACTCACGCGACTTCCTGGGAGTCAGGCAGGAATGTGGAATGCAGTGGAAATTCACTGGGCTCAGGACCTCTGAAACAAATAATGTTAGTTCACAGCAGAGTGCAGTTTTTAAGGAATCCCAAGGTGGTATGAGAAGTGAGGCTGCTTCATTTCTGGAAGAAGCATAAGCAGTGAAAAGGAGGCAGCGTGGATTTCTTATTTCACCCTATTCTTTTACTACCACTTGCAGCGTTTTAAGGTTGAAATAACTCTTACAAATGTGCAGAGCAGGGGCTGGGGGTTTAGCTCAGCGGCATAAGCACTTGCCTTGCTAGCAGGCGGTTGTGAGTTCAATCCCCCGTACCGATAAAAAATGAAAAAGACAAAAAACAAAATGTGCAGAGCCTGTGCTACAAGGCCTTGTTATTTTATTTCTCCCAAATTTTAGAAATATGTTCCCCAAACTTATGCATACTACCATTGCCTCTACTATTTCTGTTCTTTCCTGAGGGTTTTTTTCTTTTGCGCCTGGGTTTTGAACTGGCTTAGAATAAATATTGTAGAGCTTAAAATGAGGAATTCTCATCCTGTGTGAACATATTTGACTTGTGCAAAGATGAAGGAAACTATAAAAAGGTTTGTGGATTCTGTGATTGTTATCTCTGGGGTAAAGCTAAATCAGCTGGCAATTTTGTTTTGCATTTTTTATTGAGGTTGAGGTAAAATTCATGTGACATTACAATTCAGGGCTTTAACCACTCTGAGGTATAAAATTGAGTGGCTTTTAGAACATTTGCAGTGTTGCATATCAGTCATTGCTGTCTGATTCCAGAGCATTTTCATCACCCTGAAAAGTTACTCTGTGCCTTCTAATCCATGTTCTCAGCTGCCAGCAACCATTAGTCTACTTTCTCTTTTTATGAGTTTGTCTCTTCTGGAAATTCCATGTAAATGGAATCCTACAATGTGTTCCTGTGTTGTTTGGCTTCTTTGACTTAGCACAGTGTGTTCAGGGCTTGTCAGTGTTGTAGCTCGTATCAGTACTTAATTACTTTTTCATGAGCTGAATAATATTCCCTTGCATATATTGCATTTTGTTTGTCCGTTACTTAGTTAACAGACACTTTGATTGTTTCTGCTTTTTAGCAGTTGTAAGTAATGCTTTTCTGTGTATTTATGCACAGATCGTTTTTGTGAACATGTATTTTCAATTCTCTTGGGAAAAGAACTGCAAGTAGGATTTCTGGATCGTATGGTAACTCTATTAAATTTCTGAGGAACCACCTGTCACGATCAGCACAGCCAGCAGAGTCCCTGAGAGGGGACGATGGGAGATTAAGAAAAAACTAGACACATACTAAAGGGAAGGGACTGGGTGGGACCTGACTTCTCTGATGGAGAGGCAGCAACAGCCCAGCACACTCTGTATCTTTATTTATTCACAGTAAAAAGAGAGGATGCACAGGACAGACACAAAAGTGCAAGGTCTTAGCGTTTTGCTGAGAGCACAGAAAATGAAACTTTCTCAGAGTTCTCTGTGCTGTGGTTAACGGGGAAGAACGCCAAGGCTGGACACCTGCTGGACTGGCCTTGCGCTCATCCCAGCAACTTGTTCACATGGCTCACCTCTGGCTCAGCTGCAGCTCTGCTGCTCCCCAGGATGGCAAACTGTTTTTCACAGCAGCTGTAGCATTTTCTGTTCTCACAGTCATATGTGAAGGCACCAACTTCTTTAATTCCTTGCCAACACTTAGGATTTTCTGTTTCAAAAAAGAAAATTTAGCTGTCTGATGGGGTAAAGCAGCATGTAACTGTGGTATTGATTTGTTTATTCCTAATGACTAATGGTGCTAAACATCTTTTCATGTACTTATTGCATATATATATATTCTTTGGAGAAATGTCCATTTGGATACTTTACTTATTTTTATACTGGATTATTTATCTTCTTGTTGTTGGTGTTGATGTTGTTGGAGTTGCAAGAGTTCTTTGTATATTCAAGATATGGGGCCTTTATCAGCTAGGTGCCTTGCAAATATCTTCTCCCATTCCACAGGTTATCTTTCATTTGTTGATAGTGCTCTTTGATGTACACAAGAATTGGCAATTTTCATGTTGTACTCAGGCCCCATTCAAATATAACCTTTGTTGAAAGCTGTTTCTCATGGTGAAAGCTATGATTTTAAAGAATGACTATTTGCTATAATGATGGATTAAGAAACTTAGATCCAAATTCAAGTATGAACCAAGCCGGAAACCGTGGGTCCTCATGGCAGTGATGAGAGGGATCTGAAGGGACAGTAACTTCTAGAAATTTCTGGAATATGTATCTCAGAACCACAAGCATAGTAGTCATGGTTAACCATGCAGAACTTTTCTTCAGTTCACTTCTTTTATTATGTGACTAGATATATGCTTACTATGAAGAATTATGTTGTGAGGGCTTGATTTGAATAGAACAGAAATATAAATGTTTCTAACAAAATCATGAGCCCTACCACATAAACCCTTCTCCGTCACCCTTATCTTTTCCCTATTCTACAAATGGTGGTGAAACCTGAATTCTTTTTCCAAAAAATGATCAAATCAAACCAAAATAATTATGTAAAGCATAGTCTGAAGCCTGAACTGATCCCTACTTCTGTTTAAATTCTAAGTATTCTAGGATTGTATTATATTATATTGAATAATATATTACGTGTGTGTGTGTGTGTGTGTGTGTGTGTATGTATGTGTCTTAACCTGTTTTGGCGGGTCTAAATTCCTTTGAGGATCTGGTAAAAGATATAGTCTTTTTCCCAACAAGAAACTGCACCTAAAGGTTTACTATTTAAGAAGTTCCCCAGACCTTTGCAAATATGTTAGGATTCCACTGGCCCCTGTCTAAAGACATGACATCCCTCTAACACCCAATGGACACCCTCAGTGTAAGTTAGCCCTTCATGATGGAAATCTGCCCACTCACCCCTTTGCCTGATCTCTCATCAGCTCTCTGGTCTCAAATGCAATCTATTCCCAGATGATTCCTGGATCCATATCCTCAAACTCCTGGAGCTGCGTGCACACGCCTCTGCCTCCTTCCTGCGCATCTTCCCTAGGATAACTAATAGGGCATATTCAAAACGGAACTCGATATTTACCCCCTGATTCATTTCCTTTTCTTTCATTGTTGTTAAGGTGTCACTTCCTCCTCCTAAGTATCAGTTAAATCTAACTCTCCCTGCTGAAAAATTACAAGGGGCACTTCTGCTCCTTCCTTGTCTAATCGATCCTCAGCTAATGCCAAGGTATCTTTTAAAACATGTCACGAATATATCTACTGGCTAGGGACAGAGCTCGTATTTTTAAAAATACAGTTGATAAAACCTTTGCAGTATCTCATACCAGGCAATTCTGCCATGCCCATCCCAGCAGCTCCCATGGGTCTCTGCTTGTTTCTGGTCCATTTTGGAACCTTGTGCGCGCGCGTGCGCGCGCACACACACACACACACACACACACACACACACACACGCTCACCCCTCTGCCTGAGGACCCTTCATCCACTTTAAGTCGTGACTCCTTGTGCTTCAAGACCACACCTGCCTGCCTCCTCCCAGGGG